GTGGAGACCTGTTGACACAACTTGCAGACCAACCTTCTAGCACAAATGAGGGTTAAAGAATGCCATTGTTGGAGACAATTAATCTCTTAAGGTGAACATGCTCAAAAAATCGTTATCAGGGTCAATGTTGAAGGACAAAGAAAGAAGGATCAACCTGAGCAATAAGACCAAGTCCAATCTTCTCAGTCAGAAAGGGAAGATATTACGACCACTGAAGCCAATCCTCTTCAGTAGGATGGTGGGTCTACTAAAACTATTACGTTAACAATTACCTCTGATAGTAAAACTCGTCAGATAGTGGCCTACTAGGCATTGTGCCCTGTCTACCCCTTTTTTCCCCAAACACTTGTTCAAGACTTGGGGTTGGTTTATTTGTAATCCATTGCATTATAAGTAATAAATTTTTTGAGTTGTTATGTTTAATAGAATACCTCTGTCAACCACAAAATCTATCAAAACTATCACGTTAATGATTACCTCTGATAGTTCATTTTCTCAAAATTCTCCCACTATTCATCTTTAGTAGGATGGTGAGTCCACCAAAGCTATCATGTTAATAGTTACCTATGATAGCCAAACTCGTCAGATGGTGGCCTACCAGGTGATGTGACTCTATTCCGACTTGATGGATAGTGGCTCACAGGGTGATGTGCCATGTCTACCTTTTTTTTATTCCCCTGCTAAGTCTTAATCAAGACTGGGGTTGGTTACTTGGAATCCACTAGATCAAGATTAACGAATCTTTCACATTGTCGAGTTAATAGTACACTTCTAATGATTATCATCCCCACAGGAGTATGATTTCAGCTTGCATCACTCCCAATTTATCATGTTAACAATACACCTCTTACAATCCACTTATCAATCCTCTTCAATAGGATGATAGGTCCTTAAAATTTCTCAAATCACAATCTTCCCCAGCAAGATACTAAGTCTTCAAAATCTTGTTCTAATCACAAGTATAATTTCTATCACGTTAACATCACACCTTTGACAATCCACTTATTAATCCTCTTCAATAGGATGATAAGTCCTCAAAGTTTCTCCAATCGTAACAAATTCCTGTCACATTAACATCATACCTCTGACAATTCACTTATCAATCCTCTTCAATAGAATGATAAGTCCTCAAAGTTGCTTTGATCGTAATAAATTCCTGTCACATTAATATCACACCTTTGACAATCCACTTTTTAATCCTCTTCAATAGGATGATAAGTCCACAAAAATGCTCTGATCCCAACAAACTCCTGTCATGTTAATATCACACCTCTGACAATCCTCTTTAATAGGATGATAAGTCCACAAAGTTGCTCCGATCGTAACAAACTCCTATCATGTTAATATCACACCTTTGATAATCCACTTGTCAATCCTCTTCAATAGGATGATAAGTTTATAAAGTTACTCCGATCATAACAAACTCCTATCATGTTAACTAAACACCTCTGACAATCAACTTTTCGATTCTCTTCAATAGAACGATAGGTCCACAAATCCGTCATGTTAACATCATAACCCTGCCGACCAAATCAACTTATCAATCCTATTCAATAGGATGATATGTCTATAAATCTCAGTTATGTTAACATTATACCTCTAACAGTCAAACCCCCAATAAACTTGTTAATCCTTTTTCAATAAGAATAGGAAGTTTTCATTATAAATCCTCAGCTGATTAAATATTTTATGGAATTATCCTACTGATAATGAAGAAAATTTATAGATTTTACTCTAAGTAAAAATTCATGCCAAGATAATACTACACCTCTGGCACTTCTAACTTTCTTCACTACAACAAAAAAGCTAATCCGCGAGGAACAAGTTTGTCGTTAAAAGTCGAGATTTCCTCGCTGTAGTGTGTTGGCGAGGAAAAAACTTTGGTCATCATTTCCTCGCGGTAGGGTGGTCAAGAAAAGTTTCTACGAGGAATATTATAATTTCTCGCGAAATCCTTTTTGCGATGAATATATTCTTTTCTCGTTGTTACTCTTTAGCCTCGATATTTTTCCTCACCTAATCTCATACTTCTTTCATCGCTAAACTACAGTTTCCTCGCTAATGGTACATGAGTAATATTTAATTTATATATAATAAAAGTAATAAAAAAACTATTTTCGTCGTTGTAAGTATCTTTCAGCGAGGAAACTGTTCCTCACCAAAGGTAAATCTTTAACGAGGAAATTATTTTTCTTCATTATATGTATCTTTTTTTTGTGGAAACAGTTCCTCAGTAAAGGGACTCAAAGACGAGGAAATTTAAACTTATCGTTGTAGGTTGTACCCCATATTCCTCGCCAAAAAAATCCAATTATGAGAAAATTTACATTTGTCGATATAGGTTATATGGTCTATAGCGAAAAAAATTACTTTTGTCGTTATATGTTGTATCCCTATAGTGAGGAAATATTTTTTTGTCGACGTAAGCAGTATACTCCATAACGAGGAAATATTATTTTGACAACGTAAGCAGTATATACATATAATGAGGAAACTTTATTTCATCAATAATAATGCTATTACGAGAAAAACGCTCAAAATATAAATAATTGTCATCAATTGTCACCACAGTACATCAAAACAATTAAAATAAATAAAGCAAGCAAGTTTTTACCATAAGTAACAATGCTAGTCTAAAGCAATAACAAATGCAACACGATCAAAGAAACATTTCTCCAAGTTTAAGTTCACTAAGAATACTAAGCTGATGGATGTTGCTTGGAAAAATTAGCCATAAACTCCTCAAACTTTTTGGCTTGCTCCTCCAATCTTTGGATTACTTCATTTTGCGCATCGATCTTTTGTTGTTGAGTTCCTACAAGTTGTTGGGTCTCTTGAAGCTGTTCTTGCAACTTTTTATTCTTTTCAGACATTTCACCCATCGAAGAACGAGAGAACCTTAATGGTGGTAGTCTAGGGCCAAACCCACAACCCTTAATGTAGCCTGATTTGATTTTGAGAACTTTTGCACAAATTTCCTCATCTGTCATTGCTCGAGTTCCATCAGGTTGAGTGGTATCTGCGCGCATCTCTATCATTTGATCCTATAAGTAAAAAAATATATCCAGTTCAATCATATGCAACTTCATAATTACAACCTAATCAATATAATCTTCTTTAGAACAGTAATATCAGTTTCACCTATATTCTTAAAATATTATAGAAGCATGCATCATTGACACGTTCACTAGTAAAAAATCAAGCATCCTAGACGGAATTTTCTGTCTAGGATAGCTTGATTTTCGTCTAGGATAGTTATTCTATAAAATTACCAAGCTGGTGTACACTTAGTTGAGAACTATAACTCTTGCATTGAGAGAACTGTAGCTTTGAGTTCTGAAGCCTTATAAGAGGTATAATGTTCCAGAGTACTATTCTGCTTTTCGAAAAAAAGTAATAAATGCCTTAGCCAAGTTGAGAATAAGCCATCAAGCAAACTTTTGAGAGTTCATTGATAGAAAGGATATCAGTAGGCACTCACCCATGGATGGTCAGACTGCTCCAATGTACATCTCGCAAGAAACACAGCAGATGCAGCTATGACTGAAGGAAGAAACTTTATGAAGCTATACTCAACCAATGTTAGATTTGCTAAGTAATTGGCCAGATGACTCAGGGCTTGGGGGGAAACCTGCATTAACAAAAAATAATTCACTTAAACCAAAGCTGGTACTATTTAAAGTATGGTTAGTCTAAACAGAACCATGCTGCATAACTTTAATTGTAGAAGTACCTACCTTGTATGATGTATGTGCTGCTCGAATATATCTCTACAGAGAAATTATAAGAACATGTCAAAGATGAAATTTAAACAAATCTGATATAGGGGTAAACCAAGGTGAGAAGGAATTACCTTAGAAATGTTTTTACAGTGGGCACAGAGATGTGAAAGCTCAAAAGGTTCAGTACTTGAATTTCCATTTTTAGCACCTGTTATTCAGTAAGGATGCCTATGTCAGATCCATCCGTGAACAAACTCTGAATTTCCATTTTTAGCACCTGTTATTCAGTAAGGATGCCTATGTCAGATCCATCCGTGAACAAACTCCCTACATAACTCTGTGATCTAATATACAAAAAGGCACATTGAAAAATGTGACGAGAAAATGAGCATACCTCTTCTTTGGTGTTGTGTTGTCTGTAATAAAGCAAAATTCTTCTATACAAACACAAATTTCTTCGTATGTTCTGTGTAACACACAACACAGATCCGAAAGTTCTATTAGCTAAAGCCATATGCTAGAGGAAATCAAGTGCCAATTTAAGCATAACAAGTCCACATAACTTTAGCATATAAATAAATCTATGAAAATCCCTACTTTACTATATGAACAGGAGGTTGAACGAAATCCAGTGATGATTAACCTCAGGTCTTTGTGATACATCATGGTACCATGAAACAATCCCCACACAAGTTTCATTTAGACATTAATAATCAAACATAGTATGAAGATAGTTTGCCCAGAAGATACTTTAAATGATGGATATTTAAATAAATAGAATAACATTATCAAATACTACACAACTAAAAAAACATTGACATACTAAATGCAGACGATCATGTTAATGGTCATAATCTTATTCAAATATATAAAGGAACATTAACACTAACACATAAAACAGAAAACTTACGATGCAATTAACATGCAACTAATGCCCAATAGTTGCAATCTCTGCCTTTCAATATAATTTTGAGAGAGGAAACGATCGATGATATTAACAGTGAGATGCAGTGTGTCTGGAACAAGCTTGTATTCATCAGAAACCTGAAAGAGGAACCAAGTCATTGACATTAATATAAGGAGCACACACTCAACTAAAGACAAAAGAAGGCAATGCAAAACTAAGTAGAATTTGAATATAAACGAAAATTGAATGATAAATTAGCAAATATTAATATTCAAATGAAAAATGCGACTTTTACAAACATGTTGTTACTCATTCATACAGATAAGTTGTGTGGATCGACCGACATATGGATCTGAGACATGGTTCCACATGTCAAACAATTCATATATTTTCACACCAGTTTTCTTGGATTATATGTCCATCGGAGACCAATCAAAACTTTGTTGTGAGATTGTCTATTTCTCCCAAATTTCAACACTCCCAGCTGATGCTTGATTTGCTGCACGATTGCTTCCAAAAGTCTTTCGGTTCGATTCTCTAGCAATTCTTGAACCGAACTGTATGTTAGAAATAGCAAGTTCGTTAAATCTTCACAAAATTCGGGATTAATTTTGAAATATGAAAATTTACAATAAATGCAATGTGTATTCTTTGATATACGGTGAGAGTAAACTTCGCACCTGAATGGCTCTTTTGGGTAGAAGAGATGTTCCTTCAATGCCAAGCAATCTTGCAACATGTCACACGATATATAGAAATTTAACCAAATATCCAAAAGATTTTGTTTATGCTTCCCTTTGAATATTCAAGTATATTTCAAAGCCAAACGTTTGCTCAGTATACATAGCATCACATGGCAGTTTGAAATCTAAGATAGGTCGTATTTTGGTACACTTTCCTCCCTCAAAATTTTTTTATCACCTCTTCCAGCAGGTTCGTCGAGTTCAACAATCTCCCACAAGGGAAGTTCCAGTAGAGATTTAATTACATCCTCATCCAGAAATGGAAATCTAGCCTACAATAGATAAAAACAGGAAAGGAAAAATATAATCACTAAAACTTTTGAAAAGTAATTTGTGAAAAAGAAAACAAAAGCATAAAAGCGGTTTACGGGGTCTATACCTTCTTTCCATGGTCAGAGATGCACCTGTCATCTCTGCCCAAATTCCTTTTCCAAATTCTCTGTATATCCAATGGTATATGGATATCAAATATCCATATCTATCCTACTAGAGACAAATGCGAGCATACCTACGAATGTTTACATCCATTTGCTCCCTTCCACATGATTATCGATGTGGTGCAGCCACCTATAAAACCAAACACTGACTTGAGGTACAACGCAAGTTTCGACTAAGTTTGGTAAGGATGCTAAATGCAAGGAGAGTGTCGTACTACCCTCAATTGAAATAAGCATATCGCGAGAAAGAGCAGTGGTAGAAATAAGCATGCTCAAGTGAAAGCAGGATCAGAAAGAGCAAACCACTTGAAAGACCTTGTCCTGAGCATTACAACATTAACAACTACAAGTCCTTTTTTAATGACCTCAATCCATGTTCATTTAGGCTTATGCCCAGACTTTGTTGATCGTTCTATATAGCAATTGTTGGTCTTTATTACACATGCCAATGAGTTCTTGTCATTTCAACCTTCAATCAGCTCCAAACTTCAGGCATAAACATTGGTATTTATCCATCTTTAGCATTATCATATCTTCTATATTACACTTTGAAATATTGTTTAAGTTGTCCGACATTCCTTAAGCATGATTAGTTGTTCTTAAAAAAATTCTTAAGCATGAAGTAGTCAACATTCTTCACGCATAAGGCCTAATACTCTCTCATCTTAGCATTCTCATTTCATCTATACTACACTTTGAAAATTGTATTCATTTCCCCCTGTCTAGATTCAAGAAATGATGATACGATACCAAGACGTCACCGACAAACAACTGGCAATAAATTCCCTAAACTAGGGTGTCAGTTCATGCGCTATGGACACAATTATCAATAAAAAATGAATCAAGGAACAAAAAGAATAGATTCGACGAATACCAATGGCGAGCAGCGTCGGTTTCTGAGAGGCCGGATCCTCAGGAATCGGCTTCTTCGTCGTTGAATGTGAAGATACACAGGATCGCCAGTCTTCTCGTAATTTGAAGCGACGTAATCCTTGCCAAAAGCGAGGTAAGAGCCTCATATCGACAAACATACCCCCCCCCCTATGCGAATCACGATCTCTGCAAACAGACGTAAACTAGGGTTTACGGATTAGGCGTTTCGCTTGAAAAATCAGGACGGGATGGGAGGTACCGGGGGTGTCGAAGGAGCATGTAGCACTCGTGCTGTAGATTCGGTTCGTGGGTTCGGGAATTCGAGCCTCGTAAGAAGATGAGTCCGAAGGAGCTCCATTTATGTGTGAGAGAGAGAGAGAGAGAGAAACGGAGAGTTAGAAAAGAAATTAGGGGCGGGGGGGGATCGTTCCACTTTTCGATTTTGGGCGGAAATTTGGGGGGGGGGTTGGAATTTTGATTTTGGGGGGAAATTTTGGTGTTTTTATTTTTTTTATATGGGTCATAGTATCTTAGACGGAAATTTCTATCTAGGATGTATCCTAGACAAAAATTTCTGTCTAGGATACCAGGCCATTTTAAAAAGATAAAAAAAGAACCGTCTAGGATAATATCCTAGACGGTTCTTTTTTTAAAATTTTTTTTAAATGACCGAGTATCATAGACAGAAATTTCCATCTAGAATGTTTTATCCTAAACGTGCGGAATATTCTAGACGGAAAATTTTTGTCTAGTTTAATAGCAAACTAGACGAAAAATTTTTCGTCTAGAATACACGATTTTCTACTAGTGATATAATTTATTTATAGATAATCAGTAAAGGGTTGCTGACGGGCATATGGGCCTAGGAAAGGAAGGCATTTTTTCATGCCAATGTATTTAAATGCAAGTACATTTACTTCCACTACTGCCAATGTATTTAAATGCAAGTAATTTATAGAAAAATTTATGTTATCCCAATAGGATTGAAATTTCCAATGAAGTCCGGGAGTTTGTAGAGAGTCCATATCAGTATTCGGTAAATGATTCATTTTTCCAACATACAACCCAGGTTGGGCAAGTTACACAAACATTGCATGGAATCAGGAAAACCACTCCGAAACTCAAAACTTCACTCCCTCTTTGACCCAACATTTTCCTAGGGAAAACACAGTTCCTTTCAATTCTCATCCACAATTTCAACAACCCAATCTGTCACATCAAAATCAGTCTCCTCATCATCAAGTTGTAACTCACACTCCTCTTGATACAGATCATGATGAACGTCTCAATTTTTTGGAAAAAGGTTTTGAAATCATTATTAAGGCCTCCACACTAGCCACGGATATGTTAACTCAAACATCCTACACGATGAACTCCTTTATGCAATCAACCGAACTCATACTTAACTCTAACACTCAAGCCCTAGCTAGATTAGAAACCCATATTGATCAACTAGCTAGTGCCATAAGTGAAGTAGAGGAAGGAGAAATTCTGAGTCAACCCGTGGTCAATCCTAAGGACACTCAAATGAATGCACTACAGTCAGGAAAACAGGTCGATAATCAGGAAAGAACACCTTTAAGCCAAATTCTTGTTCCAATTCATTCTTCCCCTGATAATTCAATTCAGGAAAGACCGAGGGAAGAAGAAGAAGAGTCAGATCTAAGTTTTGAGGAAATTTTCGGTGAGGAGCTAAAAATATTAGGAGAAGCAGATCGGATTTGTCAAAATAAAGAAATTATGTTGGACAATTGCTGTTTTGAACTGAATTTTGAAAAACTCTTTCTTGATGAACTTAGATTCTTGGAGAATAATCAACAACCAAATATTCAGAACTTCACAGAAGAATTGGTTGTTAGAAAACAAAACTTCACAGTACAAGAGTCTAAGTTCATTAAGAAATGCAAAATACATGACACCAATAATACCCACCTTACCTTGTTGCAAGAATTACTAAACACCCCGAAATACCATATTATTGATTATATCATGCTGAATTTTTTTAAAATCCGGGGAAGAATTTTCAACAGTAAGGTAGGATTCAATGTAGAACAGGAACTCTTCATGTTGAATATTTTATTCTACATTGTTTATTTTGTTTATTTCAGAATAATAAAAAGAATTTATTCTTCTCTCATGTGAGAGTTTCTTGTTCAGTTTTCAAAAAAAAAATAAGAAAAATAAAAAAATAAGAAAAAAAAGAGAGAAAAGAAAAAAAAAGGAAAAGAATAAAATTTTGATTTCATCCTCCTCAGACCAAAGGAAAAAAAAAGGAAAAGAATAAAATTTTGATTTCATCCTCCTCAGACCAAAGGTAATTGCAGATTTTTATCAGCGGACCAAATGTAAGTGCTTCACTTCTTATCTGCTTTACTTTATGCATCATAGAGTTTGCATTGAGGACAATGCAAAATTTATGTGTGGGGGTGGGAATTAGTTTTTTTTTCTTTATTTTACAATTTTAGTGCATTTTTGTCATTTTTTTTTCTTTCTTTTCCTTAAAAAAAATTATAAAAATATCGTCACTTGCCAAATTGATAGAGTTATGTAATAATTGATTTATTTGATACATTTGAAATTTTCTAATCCCTAGTTGGTTATTTACTTAAGTTCATCTTTTATGATAACTCTAAATAAATTTCTTAAGAAATGATTTTCAAAGTAGTATACTTTACTTAAGCCTTAACTTGGACTTTTATTTAAAATAATGAAATTTTTGCATGCTTAGCTTAAAGTTGAAAATAATTTTTCAAAATGTCTTGATTTACATATTTTTCAAATACATATACAAAAAAAAAATTGCAAAAGAAGAGTGCGAAAAATGGGCACCAAAAAGAAAAAAAATAATACTCTTGAATTCTAGGTGATTCTATCTTATAAAGCCTAAGCTGACCGAGTAATTAAGCCCAAGGAGTATTTCTATACTTAATGACCTAAGCCCATTTGGGTTGGGATCCATTGGCCCAAAACTCGTTAAATGGTCACTTAGAAAGCCAAAGTAGAAAAAAAAAATCACCAAGGAAGAAAGAGTTAAAAAAAAACTAATAAATGTTTTGGAAAATATTTTAAATCAAGCAACTTAAAAATTATTTAAAACAAAGAGTTAGCATGTTCTTTTCAAAACTTTTAAATTAAATTTCTAAGTTTGGCTTGGTTTTGTATTGCTACAATGAGAAGATTTTATTAAAAATATACCTTAGAGTTATATATAAAAATGTTTTCTTGAGTTTTAACTTGGCAAGTTGACCGAATTTTGTGGGTATATTCACTGCAAACCCTCACGAGACTACAACTCGTCCACTAGGGTAACCTAGGGGTTTAAAGGCTTGTTGTATACGCTAAATACAACCGCGATTTCTGCGAAAGTGCGTTAGGATTTTCTTTTTATTTTCTTTGCTAGAGGACTAGCAAAAGTTTAGGTGTGGGGGTATTTGATAATCACATTTTATTACAATTTTATACCCTCATTATCTATTTTATATGAATAAATATACCACTAATAATTGCTTTTATCTGTTAATTGCAGGTTAATGATGAATAAATCTCAAACTCCAATCTCTCAACAAAAAGCCCTTGATTTAATGAAGAAATGAAGCCCATGAAGCCAATGAATTCTTTCAAATATTTAATGAAAAAAATAAATCAAAGCCCAATGGAAATTCAAGAGAAAATGCCAAGCCCAAAAGTCCAAGCAAAAGCCCAAAACACAAGCCCAAAAGCAAAATACAAGAGTTCTGCGGATAGCAACAGGAGAAGAGCAGGCATCGATGCCTGCATCGATGGGGGCATCGATGCCCGCATCGATGCCCGTATCGATGCCAGCATCGATACCCCTATCGATGCTGGTATCGATACGCTGGGCAGTTTGTTACGAATCAAAGGCTGAAAATTGATGTTTTTGGATAAGATTTCAATCCAATGGCTCTCATTCACTGATGTTTACTATAAATAGGGGTAGAGAGTGAGGGGTTAGAGGTGTGAAAATTTTGTAAACTCCTTTTGGAGAGGAGGGCTACTCTTAATTGAGAAGGCCTTCCAAAAATTGTAACTTTAGTTGCAATTAATAATAATAATTTTTTCACCACTTTAAATATTTCTTCTCTTTGTTGGATGATGAAGATGGAGATGAAGAATTATTTAGAGGTTTGCATTTTCTTTCCTTTTTCTC